TATATATATATATATATATATATATATATATATATATATATATACACACACACACACACACAATCTATAAAAATATAAATATTCTTTTTATATAAAAAAAATATATATATATCTATACAATCTATAAAAATATAAATATTCTTTTTATATAAAAATATAAGTGTGTAAAAATATATGACATAAATCCAATATTATTATAGGTTTGCGTCGCATGCCCCAACTCGCTCCTACGAACATGCTCCCCAACATGCTCCTACTCGCTCCAACGCACTCTGATTGGCTTACGTTACCACGCGGACCAATCAGAGTATGCTGGAGCGAGTAGGAGCACGTTGGGGCATGCGACGCCAACAAACCTTATATTTTCTCTGTATTTTCCTTAAAGTTGGTAATGTTGGGGTATCGATTGAATAATGGCTTCTGCACACAGGACGCGATAATGCTTATCGCGCGGCGGAAGTCTGCACGACAGCCAATCAATATGTTGTTTTTCCGTAAGAGTTAGAAGGTTATTACGGAAAGCAGCATATTGATTGGCTGTCGCGCGAACTTCCGCCGCGCAGCAAGCATTGCCGCGTCGTGTGTGCAGGAACCATAATCCCTGGAACCAATAATGAGCACTGATACAGTCCGTAAAGTAGATAGATATATTCTATTGGACAAAAATGCACAAAATGTCTTTGATCTTTTATGTTAACAGATCTAGAAAAAGGAAATAAATGTATGGTTACTAATCTTCCTACTGATTTTTCATTTGTTCAATCGGATTTCCAATCCGACAACTTATCGTAAACACCCATAGAGTTTAGGCGAGATATCTGTTCGATATTCTTATCCATACATGCTAATATCGAAAGATAGAATATCGATACAAAATATTGATAATAAAGCCTATATTTGAAATATCGATACTATATCGTCCAGTTCCGGTTGAGTTACGATCGCACACAGACGTGTTTTCTATTCTACTCGAGCATTTTTAATCCGTCGTTTTTACGACGAACTTCTAGTGCTTTTACTACTTATGGCTCCTGCACACAGGACGCGGTAATGCTTGCCGTGCCGTGGAAGTCCGCGCGATAGCCAATCAATATGCTGCTTTCCGTAATAACCTTCTAGCTCTTATGGAAGGCAGCATATTGATTGGCTGTCGCACGGATTTCCGCCGCGCGGCAAGCATTACCGCGTCCTGTGTGCAGGAGCCATTAATCATACTCCGGCGTGTTTAGTGAGTCTCCTCCCACAACTCGCCTCTACCGTTGAAACAACTCGAGTCGTCATAGCATTTCGCCCTTGTGTGGCATCTGTGTATTGAGACGGCCATATTGCTACGCCATGATGTTGTCCCAACCTTAAAATTTCAATAAATCCTCAATGATAAGCGAGGAAAAAATGGTCATAAAGGTAGAAAATCATCCTCAACTTCAAGGCAAGCGTAAAAGCGATGTCAAATTAGATAGCCCAGCAAGCGACATGCAACAAAAGAAAACTGTATCTCTCTCGCCCGAGGAAGATGAAATATCTCGGGAGCGGTGCACTTGGACACGGTGCATTTGGACACAGCCAATCACAGCACCGTGTGGTTAGAGACATTTGTAGGGTCCCTTGGAGGGTGTATATCAGTTGGACACGGGGCAATTGGACACAGTCCAATCACAAGTCGCTGTTCCAAGGGATCCTACAAATGTCTCTAATCACACGGTGTTGTGATTGGCTGTGTCCAAATGCACCGTGTCCAAGTGCACCGCTCCCTTCTTGGAACAGCGACTTGTAATTGGACTGTGTCCAATTGCCCCGTGTCCAACTGATATACACCCAAATATCTCCAGCAAGCAATAGACCATGTTCAAATATCCCTGAAAGATTCAAATCTTTAATTAAAAACAAATACCTGGGGAACCATCCCCGCCTTCGAAATCATTATCGAGAGGGCTTCATACAAAGATTTGAAAGGTGAGGATCTTCCGAACTCCCAGCGAAATTCGCATGGGCAAGGCCATCAACAAGATCTTTCCCACGTTATGGAAAAGGGCACATTATATGAAGCACTTAAGCAACTGGAGGTTCTCAGTAATTCTGCCTGATGTCAAGAGTGCGAACAATTTAGTGGAAGCACTTAACCAGAATCGCCAGGAAATTTTTCTGGAAGCAACATGGTCATTTACGTCCCTAACTATAAGGTTTTCAAACAAATAGTGACAAAAGATATTGACACGACTGAATCTATCGAAGACATCATAGAAAACTTATCTCCTCCTCCGGAATTGCGCGGACCATGACCCAAACCCTGCAAAGTAAACAATCTGAGGAGAAGGATGATCGATACCTCAGACCCAAGTAAGCTCTCTTACGTTAATACAAATTCTTTTATATTTACGTACAATTATCTTACATTATCTATCTCTGCCTTATACCTAGGCAAAAGAATTTTCTTTTCCCCATTTATTCAAAGAGTACGTAGGTGTACAAATTACCAACGCTTCGGCCATGTCCTCGCTTAGTGCAGAGGTAGAGCTAGAAGCGCCGTGTGTCCCAAATGTTAAGGCAAAAACTATCCCGCTGAAAGATGTGTCGCCAGCGATTAAACTGCATTAACTGTTCCAGAAATGGGTATGTTGGTGCAAACCATTCAGCGGCTGACAGTTCATGTCCGGTCTTCCTGGACAATAAAAAAATTAAGATAATTATGGCTAAACTAGGCATGGGTCCTTGCAAGGGGACAGCTTACTATTATTAAGAACAAACTCCTCTTTAGAGAGGATTGGTTCAATACTTCGCGCCACAATGAACGTCCCTTATTAACTTTTGCAGACATCCTCAAAGTATCACCGAATTCTAATCCCGATATCTCATCGTTTAAACTACTAACTTTTCCTTGAACATCTCCCTGTCACGTGCTGTTCCGTCTCTTCAGGACCACAGATTTCCCCCTCCCCTTCCTCTCTCATATCCATCCCAGCATCATTACCCCCTCCCCAAAAATCCTTCATCTCAGCATCTCTCATTGTTCCCTACCACTAACTTCTCTCCTTCTATTAACTTCCCTGTTGTCAATCCTAATCTTATCCTCCGTCCTCACCTTTCCCTCCTCCTAACCAAACCCTTTCTCCCAACCCCACCCAACAACCCAATTTCACTCAACCTAAAAAAGACATTACCTTACAGAATAATTATAATAAACCAATTAAACAGTTTCAATTCAAAAGTGACCCAAAGCATAATAACGCTAATGAGAAACCCCCCGAGGTTCATGATTCAGCTGATGCAAGAAACTTATTCTGCCAACGATTTATATCAACGCTAACAGAACTGATATCTCCCAGTACTCCAAATCATATACCCATTAACTTAAACCAAAAGCAACTTTTGGAATTATCTTATCGCCTGTCATGCACGGTCTTTGATACCATAATTTAGCCTCATCTCTATCTTCTTAATTCATCATATTAATTGATACTTCCCTACCCTGTGGCTTCTTACAACATCAATTCCCAAACAAATTATCCCATAATCTTCGGGAGCGGTGCACTTGGACACGGTGCATTTGGACACAGCCAATCACAGCACCGTGTGATTAGAGACATTTGTAGGGTCCCTTGGAACAGCGACTTGTGATTGGACTGTGTCCAATTGCCCTGTGTCCAACTGATATACACCCTAATCTTCTCCTCCCGAGATAAAAATTTCGAGTTCTTCAGTGGAACTGCAGATCGATGACTGCAAGGCTGGGTGATCTCGCAGCTATTATCCAAAAATATACTCCTACGTTTATAAGTCTACATGAAATATGGCTAACGGATCAAAGCACGTTCAATCTTTCTAATTATCACACCGAACAGGAACGGCATGGGCGGTAGATCAGCTATACTAATCGAAAAATCTGTGAAATTTTCAAAAATAGATATTCCAAACATAAACAGGATAGGTATAGCTTCCGGACTGGAGCCGTGTCTTGAATCAGCGATGTGCCGACGTTTCGCAAGCGTTGCAGTTTGCATTATCAGGGCTGAGAGCTCTGATACTGAGCTTCCTTGGATAAAGGTAGTCCTTATATGCCTCCTTACCCCTTGTGTAGATAGCGCTGGAGGGTAGGGGGCATGGTTTGAATCTAGCCAATCAGCGCATTTTAATTGATCAGCTGGTCAATTAAAAAACCGGAAGGGCAGTGTGCCAAATAGAGTTTACTTGCACACCTTTGTCTCGGTTGAGGTTGTTGGGATGTTTTAAAATTTCTAGATCTTCACGATATTTTCTGGCAAAATAACTTTGAGAAGAAGACAGTCTGGCGGCCTTGTCATATTGTACGGAGTGTTCAGTCTCCATCCAGTGTTCAGCTAGGGCTGATTGAGCAAAGTGGCCGTATATCGCTGGCCTTGGTATATCGCTGTTGTTCCTTGATTCGCGTACTGATCTTCCTCCCGGTTTCTCCTATATAAACTTTACCACAAGAGCAAGAGATCTTATATACATCTGATGTCTCCAGGCATGATTTCTAATCCTTCGGATTTGAGAGTAAATGAGAGATCTTCCTATGAGATTTGAAGATTACTTTGATATCGTGTTTACCCAGAATTCTGCCGATAGGTTCTGTTATGCCCTGGAGATATGAAAGAACAGCCGTCTTTTTCTTTTCTCTCTCTTCATCTAGTGTGTCAGTGTTTTTAGGACTGAAAATTCTGTTCTTTAGAATTGTTCTTGTATTGTTTGTGTGACGTTTTTGCTGTTGTATCCATTTTTGATTAAGGCTGTACTGAGATGCTCTAATTCTCCATCCAGAGAAGATGATTCCGAAATTATGAGCGCTCTATAAACCAATGAACTTGTGACAGAATTCTTTTGCGAGGGATGATGATGAGAGGTTGCATGTAGATATCGGTCCATGTGTGTTAGTTTCCAGTAGATCTGGTGACCTAAGGTGCCATTTTGGTTCCTTTGGACTAGCACATCCAGAAAGGGAATTTGATTCCACTTCCAATGTGAACTGAATACTGGGATGCTGTGAATTGAGAAAACCGAGAAACTGATAGCGAATTCAGTAGCTTGCACTAGTGCGCACTGAGTGCGCATTAAGGCTTGTTTACAGTACATTCTTATATTTAAGATCATGTCTTAAATACATATTTAAAAACATTTTAACTAATAAAATGATTCGTACGGATGTTATACATATCATATTATGGTTAAAAATATTTGAGAATTTATTTGAGAATTATTTAAAACAATCTTTAAATATAATAACATACTATGAACAAGCCTTAGTGCGCACTGACAAGTAACGCTACCCAAGTGTCATACGCCGATTTTCCTGAGACTGTGCATACGTGTAGTACATTGAAAAATATCTGACACGTATTTTTTTATATCTGCCCAAAAGCCGTTTTAAGGGTAGAAAACGCCCTTATGAATATATAGGGGTGAATTCCAGTATTTCACGAAGTACTCGTACGTTTGTTACAGAATGGGGTATACGGTGATTTTCAAAGTTGCTGAATCTAAATCTGCTCCCAATTTTTGAGAATTCAATATGGTGGAACCAATATGGCGGATCTGATTTTTTTAAAAAGAAGACAGCAAGACATTGTCGCTCTCTGCCAAACCCGGGAATAACCAACGTGGAGGTGGCGACAAACTATTCCCTTTTTTTT